GCAAAGCTGCTCTGGGCCCACTGCTGTAAGTAAGGGGTCAGCTCGTGTCTCATCTCAGACATGGCCTAGTGACTCCAATTCCCGATTCTCAGCCTTTTTTTTTCCCCCTGCCTCCACTCCCCCCTCTTCACATTCCCCAGCTCATTTTCTTGAGTGATTCTGGAATTTTTCACTACAGTGGCTTGGACAGAAGTTCTGCACTTAAACAGACCTTCTGGGCCTTTCTTACATATAAGGAAGTACCATGGGCTGGGGGCACAACACACTCCTTGATCGATTTATCAAATACCGCAGCCTTACCACATTCATTGGCAAAGTCAAATTGGCAGTAACGACAGGGTACTGAACAGATTCAAACAGCAGTAGCTATTGCCACGGGGAAAAAGAATTCTGCTCAGAGTGTAGCCTGAGGCTGAGAGAGTCCTAGAGCAATCGCAGGCAGAGCTCTCGGGTCTGAGGACTGGCAGCTCCTGACCCTGGGTACCAATGTTAACCATCCACCAGCTTCCCTTGGTATGATGATCCGGGGTCAGGAGTGAAGAAAGAAACGGAGCTCCAGGAAAAGGGCTTGGCCTCCCAGGAACAACTGCTTCCTCAATCTCAGTTTCCTCATCTCTGCACGGAGTGTGAGGGGAGGGGGCAACCTGCGAGTCCCTGAGTCCCCTGCCACCTCTGGCACCTCATGGTCTTCTTTTTTTCATCTATTGGTTACTCGAGGTGAAAGACTTTGTTTCCACTCCCCTTTGGCAACCATTCTAACCCTGGAATGTGGTTGGGAGTTCCAGAGGTGAATCTCGATGGAGAACTAAATGAACAGTTGGAAAGAGAAAGGCACACACCAACATATTATAAGAAATGAATAGTTAATGCACAGGAGATGGACGGCCTCACCAGGCTTTCCTCCAAGGCTTGTCCTTGCCCTGCCTAGCATTCACTTGCGACATCACTCAGCCAATCTGTGCCCTGCAAACGTGTTGCAGCCATCATGGTTCACCCATAAGACTCAGGGGACGCTGTTGCGTTTCTGTGAATTTCTAGAAAACGCGTGATAGCCCCAGGGTAATTAAAGTACCTTTTCCATGCTTCTGCTCCATCACAGTCATGAGGCAGGTCAGTAGAACCAGCCCAGATCTCAGGAAGACTGTACGATTCTGAGAAAAGGCAAGCTCGGCACTGGCTTCAGGTTAGGCACCCAGTGAGGACCTCAGCTCTCCTACTCACAGGGCACGGCTTGGATAAGTCACATCACTTCTCTGGGCCTCTGGTGGTACTTCCTGTGAGCACCACATCATCTCAAAGTCTTGGCCAGCTGGCAAATCCCATGCTTCGCTGTCATTTGTGATGATTGGAAAAGCCTAGTGATTGTGTCACCATTAACTAAAATAGCTCCACGTGCTACGTGATAGAATGTCTGAAGCCCACAGCTAGGCTGTAGCACGCTGCAGCCATCCACAGCCTCAGGAAATGCAGAGCTTCCTAGCCCAAATCCCCTTTTTTCTCACAGCCTGATCCCGAGTTTGTCCCTTTCCCTCCTAACTGAGGAGGCAGGTCTGGGTGTGGGAACCCTGGAGCTTCCTTCAGAGCATGGGTGAGGACCATAGTAATGCTGGTTCCCAGAGCAGCCTGGGTACTGGGCAAGAACAGTTCAGCAGGTTAGGGAACAGGAGGCAGTTTCTAGGAGCTGGGGTAGCAAGGTAGCATGAGCAGAGATCAGAACCACTGATACCCCAGGAAACTTGTAGGTGAAACAATAAGCCCTTGGAATGGCAGGAGGCCACATGGCTGCCAGGGACCCATGCCCTGTCCTGGGTATTTATGGGTTTCTTCCAAGCAATGATGTGACTGCCGGGTGACTGCAGGCTTCTCAGCATGAAAGGGAAAATCCTCTAACCCCAGGTGTCGTAGGGGTCCCCAGTCCCCAACCCTAGGGCGGAAGGGAAAAGAACTGAGACCCAGCCCTGTGGACATCTGGGAATGTCAGCTTAGCTTGGGAAGGTGGAAGGTACAGACAGAAAGCTCTGCCCAAGAGCTGTGAGCTGAAAGTCAGAGACCAAGTGTCGAGTTAGGATAACCATCCCTTGTCCTCCATGTTCCAGGTGAGAAACAACTGCTTAAGCCCCTGGGGTTTTCCAGCCATGGAAAGGCATGGCAGGGAAGCCATGGTAGAGAATGCACAGTGGCAGGAGAGCAAAGCAAGGGGGTCACATCGTTCCTGTAACCAGGAAATGGAGAGAGAGCAAGACATCCGCCAGACTTGTTTCCCGCTACCTCCAGAAGCTCTGCCTCCTAAGAGTTCAAAACTTTCCAAAGAGCACCTCCAGCTCAGGAATATTCAAATACACTGCAGGGGCTAAGGACCATTCAAGGAACTGCCTCTTGAACTGAGGTCTCTGAATTGGGTCCGTCTATACTTTAGCCAGGAAACCCTCTGTATATATTTTGCAAGAAGGTTAAAAACAGAATTGAGATCTGTTGGGGGGGGGGAAGGTTTGTGAAGAAACAGAGCTTGCTGTCATCTTTGAGAGGTGGCAAGAATGAGATGGGCCATCATTCTGAATGAGTCCCAGGGGAGGGGACAGCTTTCAGACTCACTGTCACCCTTTGGGGACATGCAGCATCTATTGACCCTATGGGCCGGTGGTGGTTCACCTTGGCAAGCATCCCTGAGGGGACAAGTGACAAAGAACAGGCTCTTTAGTACTTGAACTAATGCAGGCCTGGGTGGGGTGACACTCCCAGGCCTGCCTAGTTTATCACTTTCTATGGATACTGATTCTCCTTTAAGCCTCTGAGGCCAATGTGGTGCTATCTGGGAGGTCTGTCCTACTAGGGACCCATGACTCTGCATGGTGTATAGGCCACCGGCCAGTGACATCTTTGAAGGTGATGTTATGAATCCCATTATTTTGGTCACCATGTTTCCAAGTTAGTAAAAATGTCCCTTCTTCCACTTTTGCTTTTGTCACTTCCGTGTGCCCTGAGAGCTGCTGGGAATTTAAGCACGTCACCATCTCAATGACATTTTCCAGATTTTCTTAGCACCCACTAAAATCCAAGACAGGCTGCATCCCTGTTCTCTCAAGAGGAATGTGAACTCATGGTACAGTAATCCAGGTTTAGGGTCTGGAACCTAGAACTGCCTCATGCAAAGCCGTCGGGTAATTGTGGGGCAGTGATGTAATTTGAGTATCGGAGCCTTGAGATTCCCTGGTGGTGGACTGTCTACTCAGTCTGCCACCGAAACCCTGGACTCCGTCCGACCAGTGCATTCACCAGGTTCTGTGTTATCAAGGGAGTTTGTTCATATCTGGGTGCCTTCATTTTAAACACAGTGGATACCTCAGTGTCGCTGACACTGCACCATATAACAGGATTACCTGAGAAAGTAAGGCAATTATTATCATACAAAGGAATAAATACGTCTGGAGAAAGGCCAGATGTGGGACTAGGGGAGGCTGTCTGAGAGATGGAGATACCTACGGCTGAGGCCTGGAGAGGTTTAGGGCCACATTTTATGCAAGAGGGCTTTTCCATCTCTACATCCTCCCTCCCATCTGCTTGTTCACTGCTCATTCCCTTCCTTGGCCATGTTTCCAAGATGGTGCCTCTTCCCACTTCCTACTCCTTGCCTGTCTTGTTTCCAATGTGGTGTCTCCCTTCATTCTTCATACCCTGCTTGGACCACACTTATGAGCTACCTCCTCTCCAGACTTTCCTTTCTCTTTCCTGGTCTAACTTACAATATGGTTTCTTCCTTCACTCTTCAGTCCCTTCCTTGCCTAGCTTCCAAGATGGCCCCTCCCTTCATTCTCTCATGTTCATCCTTCAAGGTGTCACCTCACCTTGCTCCACCTACTTCTTTGTCTACACTTCTAAGGTGGTGCCTTTCTCACCCTCTACTCCCTTCTTCCGTCCCTATCTCTACACTTAATGTTATTATAAATACATATATTGAGAACAGTGTAGCCCAGGCTAGGCTAAGAGCTAATGATACGCCTACTTCAGCCTCCCAGGAGCTGGGACTACAGATGTGTGCCATAACATCTGGCTCTACAGCTTGTTTTCCAGGCTCTTTTTTTGTTTTCTGCCCCTCCAGTGTCAGCTTCATGAAGGCACATCCTTTGCTCATGTGTGTATCCACTGTTCTCTAACAGATGCTTGGTAGTTTGTTTCATGAGTGAAGGACCAGAATGAGTCCAGGTTGGACAAAGCACAGAAGCTAAGTCAGTGACTGAAAATAGCCTCACTAGCCATCACATTCCAGCTCTTTCTCTTGCCGGCCTGCCCCTCACTGCTGCCTGGTCAGCTCCGGAACCCATAACCTCTTCCTCCTGCCTCCTCCGAGCCCACACAGAGGCTTCTGTTCTCAGCCTCACTGAACAACACTCTCAAGTGATCTGAGCTAAGCAGGTCTGGGAAAACCTGTAGCCAAGCTGAGGTTAAGCCTCTGGCCTATTTTGGTGTCACCAGTTCCTCCTTACTGTTGCCAGGGAGTTACCCTGGTTATATATGGCCTCTGGGTTCTACCTTTCCACAACAGCTTCCTCTTCCAGGTCCCCATGCTGTCCCACTGCCCCTCAGCCTCCCTTGGGTGCTGGCAGGAGATGGGTTTTCAGTAACTGTCAGGGGTGGCTAGTTGCCTGGTCAGGAATGAAACTCACTGAATACTGAGAAGAGATCTTTCTAGCCAGTTTTGCTGTGAACTCGAAACTCTTTTTAGAAATCAGTTGGCAAGAAGGAAGCTGACAAAGGGCAAGAAGAAAGCTGGGCATGGTGGCAGACACCCATTATTCAAGCATTTGCAAGGGCAAGCTGGGCTACACAAGACCTTGTCTCAAAACAAAGCAAAGCAAGACAGACAAAAGGGTGGGAACGATACACTGTGACCTCTCGGCCTTGAGCCCTCGCTCTCTCCTCCCTGTGTGGAGGGATGGTCACTCAGGATGCGGGGTCTGGCCCTGGGTGTCCGGCGACAGTGTTAACGGTGACTCTCCTGACAGGTGATATGGACTTCACAATGATTCGCCTGGTGAACGGCTCTGGCCCACACGAGGGCCGAGTGGAGGTGTACCATGAGCGTCGCTGGGGCACGGTGTGTGATGACGGCTGGGACAGGAAGGATGGGGATGTGGTGTGCCGCATGCTAGGCTTCCACGGTGTTGAGGAGGTGTACCGGACAGCTCGTTTTGGGCAAGGTAAGGAAGGGGAGGTAAAGTACAGATTGGACAACACGAAAGAGAGCTATGGATTTTAGGTCTGCTCTCCTTCCCCAAAGCCCCTTCATGTGACATAGCCAGCTGTGCTCTGGGGGGGGTGGGCACCCGTCCTTCACTCCTGTTCTCAGCACACCCCTCATACTTATAAACACTTTCTCTCTAGAACTTGAACATGAAGAAACTTGGGCCAACTTGAACCTGAAACAACAGCGCCCAGTGCATGGATCAGAGGATCTCTCCTCCACTTAATTCCGTGTGCCCTGTTCCTCAGCTGCGTGCACTTGGGCCTGCCCCCTCTCCACTCTGCATCTTGGTGTGCTTGTCTGGGAAAGGGGCTTACAGACTGTGGGCTGCTTTCCAGCCCAGGCCCCTGGGATCCAGCATGCTGCCAATCGACTGTTGTGAAAACCTGTATTCTGGTGTGGGGAGGACTAGGGTTTGAGCTGATCACGTCACACTCAGCTATCAGGTGTGTCTGGTGACCTGTGAGTGGCAGCTGGGGCTTTGGGGGTTCATGGCACCACCTGATGAGTGGCCACCTGATCACAACTCCTACATCCTGGCCTCTCTACTGAAGGGCCAGAGCAGACAGGGAAATCCAAGAGTTTAGAAATGCAGAGGCAACCACCAGGAGCGAGAACTGCTGTCCCTGCTAAAGTTGTGTGCTGGTTTTTACCTTGTTGTCCAAGGAAAGCTTCCATACTGCTATCCTTTGAAAGATGAGGAACCACTGTTACTTTTCTTTCTTTCTTTCTTTCTTTCTTTCTTTCTTTCTTTCTTTCTTTCTTTCTTTCTTTCTTTCTTTCCTTTCTTTCTCTCTCTCTGTCTCTTTCTTTCTTCTTTCTCTCTCTCTCTCCCTTCCTTCCTTCCTTCCTTCCTTCCTTCCTTCCTTCCTTCCTTCCTTCCTTCCTTCCTGTATGTATACAGTGTTCTGCCTGCATGTACGCTTGCACACCAAAAGAGAGCACCAGATCTCATTGTAGGTGGTTGTAAGCCACCATATGGTTGCTGGGAGTTGAACTCAGGACCCCTGAAAGAGCAGCCAGTGCTGTTAACCTCTGAGCCATCTTCCCAACCTCCATCATTACCTTTGTATTTGAGACTCCTTCCTAATGAAAAAGAAAACCATAAACTATTTTGAGGAAGCTTTAGTAATTAGCTACTTTAAAGATCTTGATAGTCTTAAATTAAGGCCCTAATTACTGTAGGGTAGCCTAACTTGAGCCACATGGCTCCTGGGGCTGGGCCATTCGTCCAATGGGTTTGTAGCTGGCCATTCATTGGCCCTGACTTTTACATCATGTGTCTCCAACTAGTCACTTGATTCCTCTAGCCAGTCAATGGACTTCCTTCATGGATGGATCAAATTTGCATTGCTACCTTCCATCATAATCCACTGAGCTATCTAACATGTTAGTCAAACCTTGTGCAGATAGGCTGGCCAAGAATCACTGATGGGCACACACTGGAAAACAGAGGTTTGGGTAAAGGAGGGGCTTGACACAGCTGAGGTCTAGCTGAGCCTATTGCCTCCAATCCAGTCTGCATTTCCCTCTGTCTCTTCTGTCTTTCTACAAGAAATGTTAGGACACATTCCATGAGCCAGATGCTAAGCACAAGGTCCAGGGCACAGAGCCAAATAAACCCTAGTTCTCAGCACATGTACACAGTTGAGAGGATTCCAGTCAGCATGGTGAGAACTCTGAGGCCCCCAGGAGCCGAGAGAGGGGAATCAACTCTTTTGGCAATGGGTAGACTTATGACAAGGTTCCCCATCGGACTGTTCACACACTAGGATCCTGCCTGTCTCTCCAGATTCTCCTTCTCTTCAGTCTCCCAGAGGTTGCACTGTCTGTCTCTATCTGTCCCCTCTGGGGTGTGTCTTACTTTGCTGTCGGGGGCACACACCCATTCCTCCTTCCAGCCTCGCCAAAAATCCTCTTGTGCCACTCCAAGCCCTTCCTGGCACCCCTCTTTATTTTGAAATGTTCTTGATCCTTTAGTTGCTCCTCCTCCTCCTAACAACCTGCAGACTGTCTCTAGAATCCATCTCTACATGTGGGGTTTCAATCTTGACCCAGATCATTCTCTCTGCCCTGAAATGTTCCCTTGAGCCTCAGACCCCTCAGTATCCAGTTACTTCCCAGAGAATGCCACTCAGACACTGCTTATACCTGTCAAAGGGGTCACTTTCTTCCCATCGAATCCTTTACCTCTCTCTGTCAGGCCCACAGCACCATTTTGTGGTAGACTCCATCCAAACCAGGCCCTGAACTTTTCCACCCTATCACCAACTCCTTATCTGCCCCATCCCCAAGTCTTACAGATTCTAGCAACGTCCACCCCTCCAGGGTCTTTTGAGTCTTTCTCCTCCCCTTCTTCCTCACTGACCCGGCTATACCCTTGAGCAAATCTCTTAACCTTGCTGAGCTTCAACTCAGCGGGTGTGAGATGAGGTTGTACATGTCAAATAGTTCGAATCTTGCAGGCACCATTGCCCATCTCTGCCCGTTATCTGTTGCATGAAGATGGCTGTCAGTCCAAGGCCCCTGAGTCTAACTCTGAGCTTTTATGAGCTGCTTCCATTTCTTACTACAGCCTGCAGATTGGTGCCTGGGCCTGCCTTCCCTAGCTGCCAGCAATCTGCCTAAAATGAACAATTGCTAGTGTTAACACCTTCCTGAAACTTCAGTGGGCCTTTTTTGCTCTTGGGATCAAATTAGCAACAAAGCCCTTCTTATTAATTCCCTCCACCAATTGTTCTTTGAGACAGAGTTGGCCTTGGGCTCACTCTGTATCTCAGGCTACTCTCTAATTTGCAATCCTCCTGCTTCAGCTCCCCCAAGTGAAGGGGTTTCAAGTATGCGCCACTACTCCACAGCCCTCCTTAAGCCACTTCCTATCACTCCCCACTTGCCACAGGGTGCTTCTACCACAGGTGTCTACTGCGCTCCTGAGGCCACCGGATGCTGCTTCCTGTCCCTCCCCCACCTCCAAACCTTATCATTCCCCAGCAGCTGTAAGAGGCAGCTCAGTTTTGTCTCCTGGAAGGAGCGTCCCAGGCCCTCTGATACCTCAACTCATCATGGACACACACTTTAGCTCCTGGGTACACTCTGGAAGTCTCTGTCACCCGTGCTGTTCCCTGGGTGATTCCAAATGCACAGAACAGTGCTGAGTGTCGAGCAGGCCCTCAGATTACCTGTTGAATGAATGACTGGGCACCTTCAACCTTCATAGATCCCTGGATCACCTTGGAGTGAGATTAAAGTCCTAATGAGTTCCCAGGCGGGTCCTGGGGAACTCGCCTTGTGCAGCCAGAGGACTATTCTAATGCCAGGGTGCAATGAGTCCCTGGCTCTTCAGAGCACTGGCTTCTGTGGCACAGGGTGAAGGATGTATGTACATCTACTGCTTCCCTAGCAGAGCCCCACACACTTGTTTGAGCAACAGTTTGGGCTCCTCATGAGATGACCCCACTCCAAGCGTATTGGCCTTCCTGAGGCTGGACACCGGCCCATCCTGGCAGAGCCCCAGGCTGTGCTTACAGTGTCCACATCCTGCAAAAGCATTTGGGATGGGCGGCCTTGGGCCTGTTCTTTATTTGTTCGTCCCCTTTTTTTGCTTTGGGTGTGACTAATGCAGCGGGCGCTCTTGGGCCTGCCGCCTTTTCCTGGGTAATTTGTGAAGTGATGTGTTTTCCAGGAGACCGTTTAATCTGCGAGTTATAGCTGTGCCTCAAAGGCCTTATTGTGTAAGAGCCAGAGGGAGGCTCTGGTGAAGACAGGGTCCAAGCAGACAGCAGAAGGAGCCCTCTCCTCCTTTTTCTGTCCTTGCGTTACTGCACGGCAATCCCGTGATAGAGGGCACTGAGAATCTCCATGGAACAGGTCTAAGCGGCTTAATTCTTGTAGCTGGCTTAGTCAATAGCACCGTGGCTCAGACCGTCCCTCGAGCTTCTTTGTAAAGGGTTGTCACAGGGCAGATCTAACAGAGCTGAAGATGTTCATAGTCTCAATGATTCCACTAAGAAAAGAGAGGGACCATCTGGCTTCAGGGGAGATTACAATATGGAGGTCGGTTGTGGGTCAAATCCCCGAGCTACCTCTCCTGTAGGCTTTCATGGACACCAAAGCCCTTCCCAATATAGAAACATCTCACAGACTACGGTGGCGTGACATGGCCAGTCACGCTGGAGCCTGGTGGAAGACCCTCAACCTTGTACTTTATGCCCCTTTGTTGTATTCACTCTTTTTCTTATTACCGTGACCAAAATAGCATACACAAACAACTAGGGAAGGAAATAACTGTTTTAGCACATGGTTTCAGCAGCCCATCCGGTCGGGAAACCATGGTGACAGACGCTACTAGCAGTAGCGGCAGTGGAAGGTATTCTAGTGGACTCAGAAGCAGGCTGAGTAACTTTCTAAGTCTTCACAGGAGTGAGCTACTTCCTTTTGATAAATAGGTCCCTCCTCTTAAAGGAGCCACAGCCTCCCCAAACAGAGCCAACACAAGGAAGCGAATGCTTAGAACAGGACCCTGGGAGGGAGGCACTTCAGATTCAAACTACAGTACACATCATATACCTAACAAGTAAGGAAGAATGCTGAGGCGGCCAGCAGTCCAGGTCTGACCAGAGCTTACCAAGGTTCACAGGAAAAGTCCCATGTCCTGGGACATTGCTTTCTCTTTGAAAACTGACTCCCACCCCCACCCCACCCCCAAAGGTGCTGAGCCCTGGTTTGAAGCCTGACCCACGGGCATAGCCTGGCTTTTGCTTCTGTTACCAGGGCTTATGAAATTGCAGAGTTCAACCTCTGTGAAAAATGCAGATTCTGCTTTAGCAGGACAGGGCAGCTATCTTACAAGTTCTGGTGATACAAACACCCATAGTGCAGGGCCTCACTTTGGGTAGCAAAGCTACTGCTTCCATGGGAGTCAGGAAGTCAGTCATCTTTTTCTAGAAGGCCCCGGCGTCAGAATCCAGGCACAGCCATCAACATAAGGAACCCACAGCACCCCCACCTTCCCGCTGCCCAGCTCATCAGTAGGAGCATGGGGCAAGCCTTGTATCCACTCTGGAAAGTTAGCCCGGCTTCCCTAACCCTGATATTCACAGAAGGAAGCCAAGTTCATACCATTCAAGGTTCTGATGCTCTTCTGTGACAACCTGTTAAAGCACCAGGCTCTCCAATGTATAGCCACATTCAGACCAACAGTATGACCCATTACAGTTGGGTGAACAAGGCTGGTTGCAAGTCTTAGGGACTCTTTGTTTGAGTTGCTAACCTAATGACTTACGGTTTGAGGGTGTCTGACCGTAATGTCAAATTTGGGAATCCTTTATCTTTCTGGTACCATGGGATCTTGGGCTCACAGAATGGGACCATGTAGCAATTTGGTACTAAAAAACTCAGTTCTCGGCCACTGGGTAATTCGGGGTCTGTACAATATTACCCTTCTGATTGGACTTTACCAAACTGTTCATTCATAAAGGCTTCAAGAGACTGTATCTCAGTGGCAGGGCGAGTAGGGTATCCGGTGTGAGCCTGGGCATAGGTGGGTGGGTAGCAAGATTTAAGTTTCAGATTAGTCTCCACTAGCTATACCATGTGTGATCGCGAACCAATTGCTCTCTGAGCCTCAGCTTTCTCACTTACAGAATGTGTATCTTACTATCCATCCCAAAGCATAATGGTGAGGATCATAGAGGTTCATGATTGTAAGGCCTGCTTCATACAAGATACAAACACCCATACCATCTGTTATTGTCATTCTACCTATAGGAAGCTAAGCCTATAAATAAGGAGGCATTCTCGGTGGAGCCAGCAGAGAGTGAACATGACCATGTGCCTAAGGGACAGCCAAGGCCGTGGTGATGTCAATTACAGGCACGCCCCTTTTCTCTTCCTTCCTGCTTCCCAGATCACTGCTAAGAAGCTGTGTTTGTATCTCTTCACAGGCACAGGGAGGATTTGGATGGATGACGTGAACTGTAAGGGCACCGAGAGCTCCATCTTCCACTGCCAGTTCTCCAAATGGGGAGTGACAAACTGTGGGCACGCTGAGGATGCTGGGGTGACCTGCACCACACTCTGAAAGGGGCCACAGCCCAAGGCCAGGGCACTACCGTCGAGCCACACCCCTGTGTCTCTGGGGTAGGGGACTGCTTGGAGCTACCTAACCATGGCTCGTGCCCGTTCCAACACCACCCTGACCCTTGCTGCCAGTTGGCCTTCCTCTGGTTCCACGGTGACTTGGTGTTGCCCTCCTTCCAGGAAAACTGCTCCAAAGTGCTCAGCGGGACCTACATTCTGTCTTTCCCTTCCACCAAAGTTTCTACACGGGGAGGCCTGGTCAGTTGAACCAACAGTGTGCTCAGCTGTCTGAAGACCATCTGCAGGGCCTCGGGATCCATGTTCCCTTTGCTCTGTTGGTTACAGATTGATGCTAATATGATGTCATAGGCAAGAGTATCGACAGAGGTGGGGAGTGTTGTGGGTCATTTACTTTGCAGATAATTCTCAAATCCCAAAGTTTTAACCAACCACCTCCCCAGCAAGTAGAAACCCTTAATTGACTCTGTTTCCCCTCTTCTCCTCTGCCTCTTCACACTATATGTTAGTTTGACGAAGGGGCAGGGGAGAAGCCAGCTATGGGAGACATAAGAAAATGCCAGTCACCCGAATGCCAGCTGGAGCTGGGGAGGGAGGGGGATAAGTACCATGCTGTGCTACACCGTATCTTGGGTGCTGAAATCACTTATTCACTTTGCTGTGTTAATACAAGGCAAGGTCACTCAGGGCAGGACCCTGCCTCCAGGTAGTACTCACCTGGCCCATTCATCCAGCTTCCAAGTTAGAAGACCAAGAATGACCGAGACTGAGACCAGGTTCCCTCATGGATGTTGGTGTTACTGTCAGGCCCTTGTTAGGCCTGAGCGATAAGCTTGAGCTGTAGACATTGCTTATTAGAAAGATGTATACCCCAAATCCTACAGTAAACATGTAAGATCAGACATGATGGGGTTCTAAGTCAAACATCCACACAGGAGTGCTGATTTGAAGGGTGTCATGGGAGCTATTCCCGTTAACCTGAGCCCATCAGTTATTAGAGACTGTGTCTCAGGGCTGTTGGTGACATCGTACCTTTCAGGCCTCTTGAAATATAATCCTGTGATGTGAGGAACACAATCCTGATAAACCTCTAAAGGACAGAAAGAAGTGTGACGGCCCTATAACCTTCCCCGTGGGAAATGAGACACCGTGGGCCTCTTCAATCCTGTGAGCTGCACTCACCTCCTGCTTACAAAGGGAACACGTTCTGCTGTTGACACGTTGAGGAGGAGGATGTTGAACCAGATGGTACATGTGTTCTAGAACTGGGGGAGCTAAAGGGTAGCGACTGAGGGCGGACCTGTCACAGACACAATCACATGCCCGATGGGGTGGGCATTATCCTCCTTGGGGTCAGGAAGACCTAGGAACCTTCTGGTGTAGTCCTCCTCCCGCAAAGATCCTGGCTGGCCACTAAGCCAACATGTGATCTTGGTCACTCTTGCTTGCAATACGCATTGCTCACTACTGTTCTCCTGATCTGACCAACTGTTATGTTTACATAACATGCATGTACTCAGGCATCTTCTCCCAGAGCCAGTGTATGTACACCTGTATCAGCGTAACACTCCTTATCACAGAGCTCAGCACATCACATGGTTATGTTTGAAAAGACATACTAAAGGGCATATTTTTTAAAAAATGGGTATTTTAGAAGTGCCTAAACATCACTTTGAGAATTCTGGGAAAGAATCCAGTTACCCCAATGATGAAGACTCGGGTAACTTTCTCACTTGGTCTTTACATGGGGGAAACAGAAGTCTGGTTTTATGTTTACAAAAGCAATGTTGAAAAGTATATTAACCGCAAAAATAGAAGTTGACTAGTTTACAGACCGACCTACGAGGACATGGAAATGACCGTGGACTGTATTTCAGGGACTAATGAAAACTAGGCCTAAAATACTTCAGACTTTTTGTAAGAAAGAATTTCAATAAAGCAAACATTTGAAAGATGCCACTGATACGTAGTTCGTCATATTCTTTATCATGAAAACCCAGAAACTGTGGAGAGGGCTGGTAAGGCAATCTGATGACTTTCCCCTGAGGGCTGTTAGCATGTGCTGTCCGTGCAAAGCCATCTCAGTACTTTCAGAAGACATCCAACACACGTGTCTAGACTGATTATACTGCAGAATACATCTTAGTCTGTTTTCTGTTGCTGTAACAGAACATCCGAGATGAGGTAGATTTATAAAGAAAAAGGGCTGAGCTATGGTACTCAAAGTCCAAAACTGGGCAGCCATATCTGGTAAAGGACTCATGCTGTTTCAATTCATGGCAGAAGAAAGAGGACAAATGGGTCTGTTCAACAGAGACCAGACAGGCTTGCTTTAGAACAAACTAGAACCACCATCATTAAACTAGTCCAAAGAGAAGGGGACTTCTGGGAGAAACACACCCCTCTACGAGGACTCTGCCCATATCATCCAGACACCTTCCCGAACTGCTGCACAGATGAATCAAGGTTTCAACACATACAGGTGTGGGGGACATCCACAGCAGAACCGTGGCATTTAAGCCAGGTTTGGTGGTCACCAAAGAAAACAGTTTCCAAGCAGCCCTTGGGGCCCATTCGTGAGAGAATGGTCTTAAACTGCACCTGATGTCAGCCAAAAGGAAGTGCTCGTGTTTGTACCCAGCAAAAGAAAGGAGTCTTAGGGTTCTAACACTGTGGAGAGACACCATGACCAAGGAAACTCTTATAGAGAAAAACATTTCATTGAAGCTGACTTACAAGTCAGAGGTTTAGTCCATTATCATAATGGCAGGAAGCATGGGAGCATGCAGGCAGACATAGTGCCGGACAAGGAGCTGAGAGTTCTACATCTGGATCAGCAGGCAACAGGAATTGAGAGAGAGAGAGAGAGAGAGAGACTAGGACTGGTTTGAGCTTCTGAATCTAGTGAGACACTTCCTCCATTAAGGCCACACCTACTCCAACAAGGCCACACCTCCTAATAGTACCCACTCCCTATGAACCTATGGGAGCATTTTCATTCAGACCAGTATATTTCATTCCCTGGCCCCCAAAGGCTTGTAGCCTTATCATAATGCAAACTGTATCCTGTCCAACTTCACAAGTCCCCATAGTCTCCCACAGTCTCAACATTGTTTAAAAGTCCAATGGTCAAAGGCTCTTCTGAAACTCGTGCAATCTCTTAACTGTAATCCCCTGTAAAATCAAAATGAAAAAAGCAGATCACATATTTCTAACATATAATGGCATAGAATTTACATTACCATTCCAAAAGGATATATACATTACCATTCCAAAGGGGACCATAGTGTGGAAATACTGGACCAAAAAGGAAGATTGAAAACCAGCTGGGCAAACTCCAAACTCTGTGTCTCCATGTCTGATGTCAAAGTACTCTTCAGATTTCCAACTCTTGCAGCTTTGTTGACTGCAATACACTTCTTTCTTTTGGTCTGGTTCCACTCCCTGTTAGCAGTTCTCCTTGGCAGGTATCCCACAACTATGGCATCTCTAACCTGTGGGGGCCTCTAAGGCAATCCAGGCTTCACCTTCACAGATTTATGAAATAGGCTCCCTAGGCCTTCATGCAGGGACATCCCTGCCAAAAGCCTGGCCTCAGTGGCTTTCGTTAATGTTGGAGGGAGACTCCATAAACCCTGGTATCCTTGACTCTAAATCCAGAACCACTTGGATGAAACTGCCAAGTTCTGCTGCCTGCTGGGACTGGAATAAGCCCCCTTCTTAAAATACATTTTCAACAACTCTGCTTTTAATGGTTTCCTTCACTGCCCAAACTTGGCTGTCCTGGAACTCAGTCTGTAGACCAGGCTGGCTTTGAACTCAGAGATTGCCAGCCTCTGCTTTCCAAGTGCTGGGATTAAAGTGTGCACAAATACATCTGGCCCTAAGATTTTTTTTTTAAATTTCTTTTCACATATTAGAAGCTTAGCCAGGTGTAATAGTGTTCTGAGGTCACCACTCCTTTTATTCCACTTATCCTCAGGCTTTTCTTTAATCTGTTCATACTTACTGGTACTCCTTTTCTCTTCCAACTGTACATTTTGTATTTTTTCTTGCTCACCTTGCTCCTTTTCATTATAGATATACATGAAACTGGCCACTAATAGCCATGCAACTGAGAGACCAAAGAATTAAAAATTAGTTTTTTGGGTTATTGAATTAAGTTTAAAGTACAAACCTGAACAAAGATTGGACAGGTAGAGACATGTCCAGCCACCTGCAGGGAGGAACCAGCCTTACTGCATTCTTTTCTGCCCACTAGAGATACAGTTGCTAGGAAAAGGGCTCAGAGAGCCCCTCTCCCCTAGGACAGCCAAGCAAAGAAAGCCAGACCATTAATGGTTTTGGGGCCTTCCTATAGCAAATCAGTTCAAAATGCAACATCCCCTTTTGTGCTTCAACCAATAGACACTTGCCAGGCAGGAATTCCCCTGCTTTGGGTGCCCTGGGAGGGACTGGAATATTTAAATCAACCACCTACCCTGAGCACAATGCTCTCTGCTCTCAACTGCTGTGGAGGTGAGGGTGTGAGCCCAAGTTATAGCTTGTAATAAAAAGATCCTCATGTGTTTTGCAATGGACTCAACTCCTGGTGGTTTTTTGAGGTCTCAAGAATCGGGCACAATACAACACAGTAAATGCTAGGATGTTTGGAAATGCCCTCTGCCAAAGCTGTTAATCAATTTAACTCTTCAATTTAGCCTCAGACAGAAAGCATCCACACTCTTCATCAAAATATCACAAAAACAGTCTCTAGGCCACATACTAAAATTCTTCTCTGAAATCTCTGAGCCAGTCCCGACAGTTCAAATCACTCTTGGCATCACTGTCTTCCATGCATGCTCCTACTTGTGTGGCCAGTTAAGGCACACTTAATCCCCCAAGCCCCAAAGACCACATTCATTCAAACAAAAACATAGTCAGGCCTATCACAGCAATTCCCCAGTCTCTGGTACCGACGTCTATCTTAGTTAAGGTTTCTATTGCTGTGAAGAGACGGCATGACTGTAAAATGAACTTTTATTCTCTTGTAATTGTTGTCTCAGAGGCGTACTGCCTCCTTCTGCTAACATAGACCTAGTCCAGGAAGCTTCTAGCCTCTGTACTATCTAACCTAGGCCTAATATGTTTTCAGCCTCTGAGACTTACTGTTTAATAAGCTCACCCTTTTTTGTCTGGGCTGGCTGATTCAACTCAGCTAGCTGTTCTGGGTCAAACTCTTCTCCCAGCTAACTTATTTAATCTACCTTTACTCTAGGCCTCTGAGTTTCTCTGCTTGGCCTCAAACTAACTCCAACAATCTTTTCTAATCTTCTGACTCCTCATTCTCTAGCTCATTCAGTCTTCACCTGTGTTCTCTCTCTCTCTGAAACCTGTCTTTCTATCATTGTCCCAGTAAAATTGCTCTCTTTTTCTCTGAATTGCCCCTTAAGTAGCTCCCTTGTAGCTTCCTCTCCTTGTGAGAGTTGGGCATATGCTAATCTGTCAACTCTTTCTCTGATTTGTCACCTTTTCCACCACTCAATTAGATATCACTTTCAAACATAGGTGCTTCCTTCTACAAACTAACATTATCTTCATTGTTTGGGAATAAAGGCATGTGCCACCATGCCTGGACCTAAGCTTTTCTTTACCTGAAACTTGCTCTATTCCAGGCTGGCTTTGAACTCAGATCTGTTTGCCTCTGTCTCCTGGACTAAAGGCGTGTTTGTATTACAGAGGGATCACACAGACCTAGAAGATGTGATCTTTTGCCAGAGCAACCATGTTCTGAATTAAAATTCCTGACCACAGCAACTCTTATAAAGGCTAGTCTACAGTTTCAGAGATTTAGTCCATTGTCATCATGGTTGGAAGCATGGCAGCACACAGGCAGACATGGTGCTGGAGAGGAGCTGAGAGTTCTACGTCTGGATCCACAGGCAGTGTTTCTGGAGGAGGGAGAAACACTAGGCCTGGCTTGAGCAAATGAAACACAAAGCCCACAGAGACACACTTCCTCCAGCAAAGCTACACCTACTCCAAGGCCTCACCTCCCAACAGTGCTACTCCCTATTGGTCTATGGGAGCATTTTCATTCAAACCAACAATTAAGTACTAAGTGTGAGGTTCCTGGGCAGCAGTATCCTAGGCACAGAACCATAGCAGCCTGTGAGGAGAGGTCTGGGTTCCACAGTCCTAGATGCTCCTACATGGCAGCAAAGGGAAGTCCTCATGCCCTGAGTTTGCTGTGGGTTACTGCAGTGTGCTAAAAAGCAAAAGATGTTTCTAGAAATCCATCAAGGAAGTGTGCTTTCCCTTCTTTTTCCAAAAGCCTGAATGGTAGCCTGCCCTCCTTGCCTATACATACCATAGTGAGCCTGCCTGTGTGATCAAGGCCCTGGAAGAAGGCAGCACCCTCCACCTGAGAGGATCAGGCCTAACTGCCCCCCCTAAAAAAAAAGTCATCAGTCCCAGGAATTAGGCCATAGGTCACCAATTCCAGGAACAAGACCATAAAATTCCCTACCCAAGGAATAGGCTTGAGGTAACCACAGAATGGGAAAGTATCTTATCACAGGGTGGGGCATCTGTGTAGAACATTCATGGAAAAAAAAGACCTAATTTTCCTAATGTTAGTTATGTTAGTTAATTACAAGCTTGCCCTTGCTGAACAACACCCAATCATGTAACTGCTAAGCTGGAAATTCCCCGCCCTTGCTCAAACCCCAATAAAAAAACCCTACCATGAAGCTGCTCGGGGCTCTGCTCTCTGATTCCCTGAGTTGGTGACAGTGGAGATCCCAAGCTTAAGCCCGAATAAAGCTCTTTGCTCTTGTATATGTTGTCCGGCTCCTGGTGGTCTTTGGGGACCCTGAGATCTGGACATAACACACCTTTTGCTGTCTTTCCCACTGTTCAGAAGTCAAACGCAGCCACTTCTAGTAACAAACGTGCATATATTTTTGGACA